TCCAACCTCTCGTTGAAGTCCCAGCCAAAGGTCAAGTTCTGCAGACTTGCTGGCAAGGTAACACCATTCATGCTTTGGATGAAGGCCAAGCTTTGCAAACCCGGTGGCAAGCTCACTTGATACAAGCTTGAGTTGAGTACATTCAAACTCTTGAGTCCGCTCGGAAAGTTGACATCCGTCAGATCCCTTCTGGCTTTCAACGTCAGGTGTTCAAGGCTATCTGGTAAGTTCTGCAGCAGCTCATCCACTGATATAATTCCTTCAAAAGGTACTTCAACTGCAATCTGCGTAAGTCCTTCCAGGGGTTCTTCCTGATCCTCCACCGGCTCTCCTTGCAGATACTGCCAGGCGGCATACACGTTGACAGGAATCCAAAGATAGGACAAAGTGACGCCTTCTCCGACGATCCCTTGCTGCCTCAGGGTCTGATCCAAGCTCAGTGGCGAGGACCGGTGCTGCAGCAAGATCCGTGACCCGTCCTTGGAAGGCAACTCTGCACTGATCATCTGCCGCAGCTGGCGGCCAGTCATGGAATCTTCGACCTCAGCAGAGTGGGAACCATCTGCCTGCAACAAATCTCAAAATTGTTTTACTGTATCATGTTTTATCATCTGGGGCATTGGGCATGGAAGCTAAGTCGACAGTTCTGTGGTGTAAGTCATTGTCAAAAGTAGATGCCGTATTTGTTCCTAGATCATCTTCCGAATAGTTGACACCACCCATCAATCCTATATAAGTATCATACATGCTTGGTCTATTTGCATGTGGGCCATATGAGAGTAAATCTTGGTAAACCATGGTAGACATCACATACGTGAGATGCATTAGAGTACTTATGCAGCCTATATATATATATATATCTTCTCAAATCAAACAGCCCAGGCACTTCAAGTTTCCGTCTCTTTCCTTGCAAGCTCACTACCTCAATGCCCACCAGGGTTGAATCAGACAGCGCCTCCCTTCCGTCGCCAGGAGCTTGACTGGTCATCACGTGATGCGGACTGATGAGAGAGGACTTGACGTTCATAGGATAAATATGGATAAATCATGATTTAACAATTCAGAAATTTGGGGCTTCAGGTAATCATGACCAAATTGGTAATCCACTTTATCGCCGAGTGCATTCTGACATTCTGGCTCTACCTGTCTTTGCTGTAGTTTGTCTCGCTGGAAAATGGCAGCAAGGATCAAATACTGGCAAAACTGCCGGTCACGCTGGGCTGTAAATAGGCGACCCATGGTACCCATGGTACCCCCCGGCAATCAAACGTGGCAATGGAAAACCCACCCTACATGGACTCAGAGTCGGTCCAAAAACGTGGCAGCAATAGATAGCAATGCTGTAAGATGATCAATCATTGGAATCATGAGGTTTTATAACCCATGACGGATCCATGGTGCCGCTATATTAATGGTGCTCCATGGATCCCATCAACAAAAACCCCAGTCATGTTAGCATTTTTCTACCAGCACCATGGATCCGTCATGGGTAATTGTTTAAAGGATTTCGGGGTACCCCATGTTCAATTTTTACTCGAATGAAGGAGATTCTGGGATCCGAATGGGATCGCTCAGCAAGCGGCTTCAAACCCTTGGTTTCCAGGATCATCCAAGTCTCCGTAAGATCCCACCAACTTCAGTAGCTTCCTCCAGTAATTCCACCTTTGGAAATCGACTATAAGCCATAAATCCAGAAGATCAGCTCCTACATGTTTCCCCATCCTTTTTTTCGACACCCTCTGGTATTCAAACACGACGTGCTGGAAAATCCCGGCTATTGAGTTCCCAGATTTCCCAGGTAGAAACCTCCGGTCCTCCCAAAACCTCCATTTTTAGGGTCTCCATCATATGGGTATGAGTCACAATTAGGTACCCCAATACTAGATGGTTATTACTATAGACATTTCCATCTGTGGTTCCCCAGGTCTTTAATTTTGACCCAGCCATCATATTCCCCAACTGTGGCCCCCAAACAATGTACACAAAGTGATCGTCCTGAAGCACGGCCGGTCGTAAAAAATTGTGGCTCTGAGTCCCATATGGCGATCCGCTTGTTTTAGCCCCTGTGTTGGCCCCTTGGGGCTACGAAAACTGGAGGTTTTCATACTACATTTGCAAAGAAAACAGCATAAATAGATATAAAATGATATAAAATGATAGATATAAATTCAGATATCTTCTCTCTTTAGACATACTGCATACATCTGCATATTGTGTATCATATCATCATATATCATCTATCCACAAGTTCTACCATCTCGCAGCACGAAAACAACATCCACTAGCCTCTGCTAGCCTTGTGTGGCTATGGAAAAAATATGAAAAAAACGCAGCCAGCCGGTGCCTTGGAGTAGCCCATCATGTTCACGATGAAGGGGTAGGAAATCTGAGCCATCAGCCTCTTCTCGTTGTTGATGTGATCCACCTGCCGATCCAGAATTTCCATAGAGGGATGACCATGGCCAACAAAAACAATGATTGGTTGGTGTTTGACCTACCCCTCTGAAAAATATGATTCAGTTGGGACTATTATTCCCAATGTATGGAAAAAAATGGAAAAATAGAATTAATGTTCCAAACCACCAACCAGATGAGGTCCGGATATATAGCTGCTGGTGAAGCCCAAAACAACCAACCCCGTTTAACCCGGCTGGGCACCGCATAGAAAGTGCTTGACCCACAGATTCCAAACGGATGGTCCTCACAAATAAACCTTCCAGTCCATGAGGTTTAGATTCCAATATGTCCCGGGTGCAAGACAAACACCATCTTCAATCTACTGTATGCTTTCCTTACAACTGGCTAGTTCACTCAACTGTCTTTTGGTGTTTCCTGGATCCTGCTTCACTTTTATTTTCCCTCGAAAAATCAAGCCAAAGACATTCAATTTCAATGGCTATTTCAGGTACCTAGATTGAAGGTACCTACCACGTATAAGCTGGTAATTAGGCCCTATATAACAAGATATGATTCCATATGATCCCAAAATATGGCATGGTTCTTTTGCCCGCCCCAGTCGCCTGCTTCAGCTTAATAATCTCGTGTTTCTTCATGAACTTCACAGCGTAGTACTTCCCGTCCTCCGATTGCTGGAAGGTTCTTGTCCGTCCAGTCATGGGCATACCCCGTTGATCAGCCGCTTGTTGGTGATTGTCTCAAGTCTCAAAACCATCTTAGACGCGGGGTTCTCAGGATTTGAGGAGATCTATACAATTACCACGGGGATTTCTGGTATTTATGTCATATTTAAAAAAATATACCAACATATGTCATTTCTGGTATGTATGTCATAGTGTCATATTTATATCTATATATATATATATGGCAGTGTGTCAAAACCTTGTACCCCTGTAGTTCACATCAAAATAGCTGGGATTTATGGATGTTCATCCCATTAAAATTGATACTAATAGGTTTTGACCCATACCCATATATATTATGTTGGTTGTATTGACTTCTTTTAGAATCATCGGATGGTGCAGGAAGCACCTGGGCTCTCCCAGTCTGGTGAACTTGGAGAAATAATACCGGTTTTTCACTCCATGGGGACCACATTATACACGCCAGATACAAGGGGAGGAAGTCTGGGCAAGGAGGATAAAAATTGATGTCAACCCTGTAGATAGTCATGACTATCACTCATCATTTTATTGGGGATATAATATGATATAATATAGAATATCGGGTTGGTAAATGTCCTAATTGAACATCATCACTTTTTTTAGGGTTCAACTGCCCAAAAAAGTCAGAGATCGTCAGAGATCGTCAGATTCGACCTTTCGGTGGACCACCAAATTCTCCCAACGCCCAACGCCCACGGTGTGGCGCGCTCCGGCTTGTACTTGGCGAATCTCACGCGTCCGAAGGATCCACACCCCAGGGTGCGTACCCTCGGTATGCCGCGCGCAAGATCATGACGCGGTGCACGTCGAGGATCTATAATATACATATATATATATATATACATGCATACATACATACATATATATACATATGTAATATCTATTGATATTTACTGTATTTATTGTCTATATATATATTATAGTGTATATCATATATATATATATATATACTATAGCTTTACTTGAGTATAACATATCGATGTCCTCAAACGATCCAAATGGATATATCATCCCGGTCTGACGCCACTTCGCGATGCGCCCATCCAGGCACCAATCTGCCAAGGCGCATCTCGAAGTCGCTCAATTGTACCTGCGGTCGAGATCACTGCAGGGGTCTCTGATCAAAACATAGTCCCAGCGATTTTGGATGATGGTTTACTTATAGTTTATTTGTATTTATTTGTCATCTGGGGCGCTTCAAAATGCGGTGCCGTTCGATGCCTATCATATGTATACAGTATACATGGAAAAATCATTTTAAAAAATTATGTATGTATACATAGAATCGAAACTATGTATGTATACATAGAAACTATGTATAGATAATCTATACCTGTGCACAATCAATCTGCATATTGCAGTAGCATGCACTAGTCCATTTTTTGTGTCTGAAAATGGGGACCCTCCCATTTGAAGTGGCCATTTTGGTAGCGAAAATGAGGCTTTGAAACATGTTTTAACCACTGGATTTCGGGCTCCCAACCCCCCTTTTTGAGCGCCTGCTTTGCCATGTTGGCGATGGTCCGGGGCGCGTCAACTAAAGGGCTGGCGTACGATGGACTGAGTCACGTCAGCTCGGAGCTCAACGGCAGCGGTTCGTCGTTTTGGGCGCCATGGGTCGATCAATTGAAAAAAAAAAACAGAAATGGCGAGTTTTGTAGGGACTCAATGGCGAAGAACATGTTAAAACAAAAGCCAAATCGTGTGGCCTTGATTGGTGTCTTGACAGTCTGTGAAATGTAGCCTCCTCCTGTCCCTCCGATGAAAACATATGAAATCCCCATTTTTGCCGGTGAAATTGGTGGATGTCATCTTGGTATATAAACTGGGTACGTCTGGAACATCGGAGACCCCCAATTCGGATTCCCATGGCCACACCTGCCCCACGCAGGTGCTCGGCGGTCACCTCACGATGCCAGGAGGTTCTTGACGTATTATCAATTATTAGTATTAGATAATATTAGCATGTATTAGCCATTATGGTTATTCTTCATTGTTATGATTCATGATTTTCATGATTTTCGTGATTTTCGTGAGTTTCATGAGTTTCATGATTTTCATGATTTTCATGATTGATTCATGATTGTTGTTGTTGTTGTTGGTGTTGGTGTTGGTGTTGGTGTTGGTGTTGGTGTTGGTGTTGTTGTTGCTGTTGTTGCTATCATTAGTGAAATTGTCATTGTCATTGTCACTAGCATTGTTGTTGTTATTATCATTATCACTACTCATTTTTGCATAATATATCAGTGTAGTTTGTTGGACTGGCCATTGTGCTATATATGAAACTGTGTTTGTCATGGTTGTGATGGTGCTGGTGGTGATGATGTGCATGAGCCGGTGACATGCCTAACTGCCTAACCCTGGCTACCTTGCTACCGAAGGTAAGTCATGTGTTTGAAAGAAGACCACCAAACAGAGGCCAACATATTATATATATATATACATCTTATATATGTTATATATTATATATGTTGAAGGTAAGTATCGATTAAACTGCCCGACCAACCCGGGTTTCGAGGGGAAAACACCTGATTTTCACATCTCAAAGATGAATTTGATCGACTTAATCTAAACATATAGTACATATCTAGACGACGTGTGATTAGATGAGAAACCACTTAAAAGAACACCAGTTGTGTGAGAAGCTTGGACCCGGCCAATGTGTTCTGTCATGGCCCACAAGACAAAATGGTATCATTTCCTCCGAGTCTGCCATTCTGAACCCCATTGTATGTCGTCAATGGTTGTAAGTTGTCCCCCCAAACATCCCAACACTATCCAAAATAGTCCCTGGTTGTAAGTTGCACTCCCCCCCCAAAAAAAAAAGAACATCCCAAAACTATCCAAACATTGTGATAGTCCATGGTTGCAAGTTGCACCCCCTCCAAAACTACCCAAACATTGTGATAGAATCTTATCATCCGGGCCTATCACCATGCTCACATGAAACTCATTGACCGTTACAGCCTTGTAGCTACACCCCCAAGCCAAGGCGGTTCATCTCAAGGAACTAAATGACAAGTTGCTGGTCGGCCTACCCTGCGGTTGATCAAAGTATGGATATGAACATCTCATTGGTTTCTCATGGGTTTCCATCTAAAATGACCTAGAAATGCTTGGTTTTCTCTATGGAAAAGATGGCTTTTCCCTATTTTTTTCACCCTCAAATTCCCTGCATTTCCACAGGTTCCCACTGCAACTCCACCTGGGAACGCTTGGCTGTCTTCCATTGAAGAGATTTGCCACTCGTTTCTCCTGGAGACTAAAAATGGTCTTGGGGGCTGATAGTTGATACCATATGCATCTTGCGCATGTATATGTATATATATATTAGTAGCTATGTATATTATATATATATATATATTAGAAGCTATGTATACATAGTATGAATAAGATGTGTGATAAGCGGCCTCTTCTCATAAGGAATGCAGGCCACGAATCTGGGATTTGGAAGGGCACAGAAGAGGTCTACAGAGTCTACAGTGAAATCAGCCTGGATTTTTTCCATGTAGGTAGGATCTATAGATGTCTATAATCTGGGCAACCCAATGCCAGAAACCTATAGAAACCTACCATTTGGGGATGGTTTATAGCCATAAAAATGTCATTGTGGCGATGGTTTAAAGATGTTGGGTTGCCCACATTCTACTGGTGTTACCACCCCTATCTGTATACAATAACAGTCTGACCAGTTCAGACCTGAGTTCTGGACCCCCTTAGGCCCCCCAATTCAAGACCGTAGTTGCCGAGATTATATACAATATATATATATACAAACTATAGATGCTAAAAATACCTAACCCCCAAAAACAGTTGTATATACTTGGACTCCAACAATATATTAATCCTCTAAGATGACCTTTTCCAGTGGCGAAATATCTGGCCATGACCTTCTCCAGTATTATCCATGATGAAAACCAGGATTTTCACAATGAAATCCGTGAAAAAACTCCGTCATATTTCATCAAAAATCAGATTTTACCCTCTGGTGAACTAACATAGCAATTGAAAATGGCCATTTATAGTGGATTTTCCCATTAAACATGGTGATTTTCCATTGCTATGTTAGTTCACCAGAGGGTAATTCATTAACAGCATTTCTTAATTCACCAGGGTTAACTTTTTTATCATCCATTAAAAATAGGAATTCCAACTGGTTATGACTAACATAGCCATGGAAAATGGCCCATTTATAGATGGTTTACCATGTTTACCTATTAAAAATGGTGAATCCCAAAAAACCTGGTCACTAGCTCTCATTGTGCGTCATCCCCGCACCTTCGTCTCTATTGGAGCCCTTCGTATCCTGGCGACCCAACGAACACAGCTCGCTGCTCTGCCTTTGTAGCTTTACATTCTAGTGATTTTCTATAAACCCCCAAGAAGATGTAAAATCCGCTCCCAAAGTAATGAGAAAATGACTTGTTCTGTCTTTTTTGGACTTCTTTTTGCTGGAGATCAAAATGATCCAGCCTGGCTACAACTGGAAGCCAAAATCAAAGAAAGATTCAACTGGCAGGATTGGGAGGAAGGTCGTTTTGTACAGTATGGAGTCTTGGTTGAAGAACAACCAGATGGTTCATACCACCTCTCACAACCTGACTATTTGGATAAAATAAGTGAGATCAATGTCAGCGCCAGCCGGCGCTCCTAAAGTAGTGACAAATTGTTTTTTCTGTCTTTTTTGCCGGTTACTGTACTATATCATGTATAAATTACAATAAAATTCCATCAAATTACAGTATCACCAAGAAAAGCTTCAAATAAATCTAAGGGAATGGCTGAGAACCGCCATGGAGAATGGAAGCTCGTGAGAAAACGGCGGTTTTCACCTACTGTACCTTTCAAAATAGTTGGCTTCCCCACAAACTCTCCATGGACAGAGGGGTGTTGAGTCGAAATCCTTCCGTTGGATTGTGAAATTCCATGTTCTGTTACCCTTCGCTAATTTAACATATCTATGGAAGCCATGGCCCATTTAGTTTGATGATTTACTTACTGTCTTTGACAGTGGCAGTTGTCCACTTCGCAAACTGTTACCTCATTTTGTGTTGGTAATATCCCATTTCTATCCGATTATGTCCCATTATATCCCATTATGTCCCCATTGTATCTATTGTGTTACCATAAGAGCTCCATTTTTTCCCAATCAAATCCCCTTCATCAGACCGCCTCCAAGTACTGTCGTACTCGGAGCCTTGGCACCGTTGGGAGGGGACGTTTTTTTAACCTATATGGCCCATTCAAATAGTGTGGATATCTAGTTCATCGAATACTGTATGAGGTTGACATAGCTATTCAAAAGAATCTCAAGTTGACATGACATAGATATCAACTATTTATACAAGAGTTTTAAAGAAATATAAACCGTTGACATATCTATTCAAAATAGACTCCCAGACCTCATTCATATTGGACCGAAAAAAATGTGTGTTATCCATATGTCCAAACATGTGTATGCAATTTCATGGTTAATCCTGAAAACACGTATAAACAAAATTGACATAATGCTTGGTTCATGTTTTCCCCATCAAACTGTAGAAACAACCCTTCAACCACTTTAACCTATACAGTACCTATACCATTCACCCGTCGCTTTTTTGCAACTTTTACAGCCAACTCACCGGAAATCCCACTTAGATTCGTCCCTTGAAAAACTGGTTGGTTAAGAACGGAGTTCCCATAATGGATTGTGAGTATCCCCAATATATTGGTTGGTAGAATTCTATTATGGTTAGATTATAGTATAATCCCCAGTATAATCCAACTGGTTGTATTTCTCAATATATTGGTTAGTATAATTTGAACAACCATGGCAACCGGGGTCTTGAACACTGCTCAGTTGTATAGTGGATTCTCTCTTGTAATCAAGCATAGATATCATACATAGCAAAGGTAAATCCCGAAATTAGTTCCATGACTTCCAAAAATGACCACGGGGTTCTGTATGCTGCCATGTTTGATTACCAGATGGTGAATTCCTGTTACAGTTTCCCTCTGGTAATTTGTTACATAGCGAACTGGAAAATCCAAATTATAAATGGAGGTTTGATTGGGAACATCATCTGTTTCTATGGTCCATTTTCCAGTTCGCTATGTGAAATTACCAGAGGGTACAGACGGGTATGATTCAGTCAACTCCACAACTCTTCGCTCCCATTTCGATGCTCGTATCCACCAAATTGGATTGGATCACAAGTGGATGGTTGGTCCACATCAACTCTGTCTCTGTACATGTCAATAAGTGGCTGGTTAATGATGTTAATCATGTTAATTAAGGCTTAACATGATCAACATCATTAATTAAGTCAAATGGTCCCCATTTAAATAACCATAGGTTATAATAAGTGGTTGATAATGAACTGGACCATAATTAACCACAATTAGCTGGAACATAGTATTTCACCATTATAATAATTACCATTATAGTTAAATACAACTAAATACACCATCAGGTATAACACTAATGATTAACACACATGATTAACAAAACCATCATCATTAGCCCACACGTCTTTGTTGTTTTGTTGAACCCAGGCGCATCCTGGATCGAACGTATCGAACTTCGTCATTGGCGGTCGCCTGGGAGAATTTGTCTTCGATCAGGAAAATCCGAAAATCGCGGGGGGTTAAGCATTCAGCAAACCAGCATATAGCTATATACAAATATAGATACTAATATGTACATATACACTAATATATACATATATATATATTGAATGTGTCTATTATGAATGCAAGTTATCAAAGTTATGAAATGTTAATCAACTTACTCTCTGGATCTCTCTGGTGATTTAACAAAATTACCAGAGGGTAACCTCCAAAAACGCTGGAAAACTATGGTCTAAACTCTATTTTAAAAAAAATGACCATGGTTTTTATCCAAAAATGACCATCCAAAAAACAGTGGTCTAAAGTCTAAAATTCACTGCCCACCTCCCTTCATCAGCCGGAAAAGTTTCTGGGAAGGAACCGGGGGGTTTGACCGACTGGAGCTAGGTAATGAGGATTCATGGTATGCCCAACTTGGAATAGGGTGCTGGAAAGGATAGAAACCCTATTGTGGAGTAATTATTTGTTTGGTGGTAAATGACCAAGTGGCAGTTGATAGACACTATTCTGACTGGTCACCCCAATAAAAGGGAATGTTAGGCTATACTCATGTGCCCATGTCATCCAATTTCTGGTTTCCTTGGTTCCTGGTGAACTATCAACGCAGGTTCAGTTCAAAGATCTGGCCTCGATGGTAAAAGCTCCATATCTTGAATTTCGCAGGTGCATACCCAACATTTTTTGTCGGAGTGACCCATTAATGTTTACCCTCCGGTAGTCAAACAGGGCGTGCTTGAGAATTCCCTGATGAATTCGATGATTTTGCGAAAAAAAAACTTCCTTTTTTTCGGGGATTTCCATGGATTTCCGATATTTTCCAAGATTTTCCCAGATATAAACCTCCATCTTTTTCGGGCATGTCCCATATGTCCCATATGTTCCTATGATTTTCTCAGCTCAAACCTCCAGCCTCCTCTTTGACCGGGGTCTCGAAGCCGTCCTGGCGAAACAAAACATATGTGCGGCCGTACAGACCAGCATCCAACCGATGACCAGCATCCGGGGGGATGAGAATATGCCAGGACTTGCCATAGGGGTTATCTAATTCATTATAATCCATAGAGTTGTAATACCATTAATTAATGATCATTTATAATTAATTCTAATGTTTTTTGTTGATGGTATGACCATCTCCGAGCCAACTGGATTGACCATGGCACATTCGGTTGAAAAACCATCTCTGAGATGATCTAACCTTGTGGTTCCTCGAGGTTTCACAGCACAGTGAAGCTCACAATCGGGCAAATGGATGATTTTCGTTGATCCTGAAAAATTGACCTGTCCATGATTATCATGATTGATATATGCAGGGGTCGCCTAGATAGCTCAGTTGGCTTGTAACTAGTGAGGGCCTTCAATCCTTAGCTAAGTTGACTGAAATATGTAGGTTAACTAGGGGGTATGGTTGATATATAGTTAGAGCTAGAGGGTACAAACCAACTTATGACTGGAGGGCCCTTCCTGTACCCTGATTTACCCGACACGAGTAGCCATTGGAATATATTGAAACGACGGATGTTCATGGATTTTCGCGGAGATTTTCCCTATCTGAGTAGCCCGATAGTTGTCACTGGTCAGTGTTATTAGCAACTCGCAGCTGGAATCGTCCCCCATAAGATGTGGTTGGCAGATTTGAAGCATGGGCATTTTCCGTAGTAAAAGAAGGGTCCAGAGGATACCGAAGAAATTGGGACCCCATTCACACGGCCAAAAGAGGCAGTTTCCTCCTGACAAATGGTCCTTAGGCTCTGATGAGGGACTGCTTCAAATGAGGCAGCCAAATTTGACACAGTATTCCCCAAAAAACTCCGTTCAAAATCCTTGCTGTGTCCCAGGTTCTTCCCCTGCAAATCCCATGAAAATCCCAAATGTTGCAGTGCCTACAGTGTCAAATATGACATGCAATCCCAAGGCAAGACATTTAAACCAGGTGTTTGCTTTGTTTGACAAGTGCTCTTACCTTCCTCCAGCCATTCCCGTCCTTGTCCCAACTTGTTCCCATTGTTTTCCCGAAATATTCCCAGATCACTCCTGGATCCTTCCCAGATCGTTCCCACATCTTTTCCAGTCGTGCCCCCTGTCCCATGGTTTTCCCAGATCCTTCTTGGATTTGACTATATGTCAAGCCTTGAAGCAGATTTTTGCAAATGCTGTAGCTTGCTAAAAGAAACAAGCCGATTCCTGATAGTTTCCCTGGAAATCCTAAAGTTTTTTCCAGCTCATTCTATGACCTCCCTTGCAAAGAGATTCCTGGATTCACTTCTGATTTTATTGGTGCCAACACAAGCTGAAGCAGCCCCTATTGAAGCAGCCAGACTAGCGACTCAGAGATAGATCCGACTGCACAAAACAAATCCTTCGCAGTCTGAAATAATATGCAAATAGAAAGACATAGAATGTAAACCAACGTTTCCTCGCTAAAATGATTCCTTCATCAACAATTCACTTTTGAAACCTCTAACCTCTAACCCCTGGTTTTTCGTTGTTGAAGCTAGCATGACTCCGCACCTGTTCACGCGGGACGAAGACAGGCGCATCAGCACGAAAGGACGTCCTGCGGCGCTGGCCCACTTTTCCCCTGGTTTTCCATGTCCCCTCCATAAGAATTCTGGTTGCTTAGAAATAGATTAGAAATACTGGTAAAATTGGAAATAGATTAGAAATAGATTAGACATGTTGTGACATATTCTAATTCTAGGAAAATTAGAAATAGATTAGAATACCTGTTCAACCCCCCTTGAAAAGTGAAGAAAAAAATGAAACCACCGACCAACCAAAAAATCAGGGGCCTGAAGTAAGCTCTTCTTCGGATGCCCTTACCAACTATCCTCTTTTGTGGTGAGATCCCTGTGCCTATGAGGTCCTTCAAATTTGCGACCGGAAAATGCTTGGGACATGTTTGAAACCCTCCAAGCTGTTCCAAGGATAGCATCCCAAGTTGTAAAGTTGTAAATATCAGCATCAAAGCTCATCATTTCTTTGGTCAGGCCTAAGAAAAGATTGGAACGCGCCATGAGCCTTGGAAATGATCAACCTCGCTTCATTTGATAAGCCCCTCCAAAAGTATCATCAAGTTTCATTCTGTGAAATCTTGCTCAGTGAACATCAGGAAAGAAAGACTGGTTGGTGGTTCACCTACCCCTCTGAAAAATGATGGACTTCGTCAGTTGGAATGATTATTCATTCCCAACTGAATGGAAAGTCATAAAATTCCATGGTTCCAAACCACCAACCAGTGATATGTTTACAAATTTTGACTCACCACTTACCCATGATGCACATCCGAGTATGAGGTTTACAACAGCCCATGGGCCTAAAATTCATGTTCCAAACCACCAACCAGAAAGAAAAATTACCCTAGCTATGCTATTGATGAGTTTTCTTCTCGCAGGGCCATGATCAGGGGGATGTCTTCAGAATTTCCGGAAATCGTCGCGAGAGATCGGATCGGTCATTGATTTCTCAACAGCTCACTTATTCTGGTGAGCTTGTTGTTGTATGGTAGATGTAGTAGATTATCATAGATATAGATAGTTGGACAATCTATGATAATCTACTATATCTACCATATAGCTAATATGGCAACAACCTATCTATATAACCTACCCACGTATCCAAGTATTTTATCAGGTTATTTCATGTTCAAATTGCAGGCCCCGACAGGACCTCCTGGTTTCGGCCGTCTTTGACGGAACTCCCCTTAAGCACTGTATGCAAAAGCCATATCTATGGTAGGATTGTTTTTTCTCTCGTAATTACGAACTATGAATATTTACAAAATATAAACAACGTATTTACAACTTTTTCATAATTGACATAGCCTCCAACCAAACTCTGTTGCAAGCCAACGAAGTGATCCAAAAATGCTGCGATAGTGAAAATCTGACCCCCTGGGTGAGGAACAGTCCTGGTCTTGGTGGGCGTGAAGAAAGGACCAGGAGGGCCGCAAGCCTAAAGCTGCGGGGCAAGTCATTAAGGAATGACACGATGGCTTGCTACCTTCGATGCTGCCAGAATTATATAGATGCGATAAATATGTAGTTAGAAGCTACACAAGCTTCTAGTTAGATGAATAAATTATAGTATATTTAGGTACTATATAGAATAAAATATTAAGTAGTACCTAAATATAAATATACAGAAGCTCGTAGTTAGAAGCTACACAAAATATCGCCCAATCGCTGCCAGTTTTTGGAGGGGGTTAGTATCGTCTCTATGTAAGATTATATCTGGTTGGTGGTATACCTACCGCTCTGAAAAATATGAGTTCGTCAGTTGGGATGATGACATTCCCAACTGAATGGAAAGTCATAAAATTCCATGGTTCCAAACCACCAACCAGCATTGAAGTAGTTTAGACACAAACTCGGTTTAACCAGTGATACAAAACCTGCTCATCCAAGGCGATGGTCTCCAAGTCGGATTAGTTCAAACACCCCATCAATCTGGAACCACCGGGCTGAGCAAGTTATAAAAATGCCAGTTGCTGGTAAACATACCAAAATACTATGGAAAACCACCATTTTGTATGGGTAGGTAAATCAACCATTTCTATGGCCATGTTTACCAGAGGGTAACCATACACAAGTCGCTTTTGGGATAATTGCCCTTTGGTCAGTTGATACAACCGGTATGACTTGCGGGCATCAGCATGAACCACACCGCGATCAGTCTGGTCTTGATCAACTTTATCACCTTGCTCAAATTATACAAGGTGGTGCCCCCCAGTTATAAGTTGGTTTATATATAGTCCCATTCACTATAGACAAAACCCCCGAATCAACCCTAGTTCTTGGAGTTATGTTCACCAACTTAGCGTTCTCGAACGGGGGGCACCACCTTGTATGGATTGTTCAATACTAGCCATGACCATGGTAGCTTCCCTTTTTAAGGAGACAGTTGTCTTCCCTACTTCCCTACTTGCATCCCAGGTCATTGGAGTTACTACTCAACAAAATCCTGTGGTTTTTTGGGAGTTTTCTTGGTATATCCAGTGATCTGGATCTGGATGATATCTGGTTGGTGGTTTCAACCTACCCCTCTGAAAAATGATGGACTTCGTCAGTTGGGATGATTATTCATTCCCAACTGAATGGAAAGTCATAAAATTTCATGGTTCCAAACCACCAACCAGTGATATGTTTACAAAATTTGACTCACCACTTGCCCATGATGTACATCCGAGTATGAGGTTTACAACAGCCCATGGGCCCTTGAGCTTCCGGACATCTACTCTGAACTCTGGAGGGCTCGTCCTGGAGACCGTCGACACAAATTTCGGTGATGTCACGAAAATGTCGGCTACAAGCATGGGCGGATTTACGCAACCAACAATGGGGATTTCCCTGAAATCTCCACTTGAAACCCACAACAAGTGGCCATAGACATAGACTCTGAGCCATCTGGATGTGTACGCGTATGTATTAACATCCTTTGTGGATCCATTTTTAACCCCAAAACTACAGTCGAAGTCTTGGTTTCCATTCATTTTTGAATGGACTGTTTAGACACTTTCAATGTCACAGGAAACTCCGGATCTTAAGCCCCCAGCGGAATTAGAGGGGTGCCTGTAAATTTTACCACCAATTCTCGGAGACAATTTTTCCTATGTCAACGTCACTTCCCACCATTTCAACTTAAGGATTTTACCTATCGTTTCCTGGGGGGGTTAAATCAGAGATCTATAAGAGTTACGCGCAAACACTCCGTTTCGCCCACACCCTTCTTGTCTTGGGAAGATCAACAAAGGTATTAGGGAATATAAAAGTCCCACCCCCGTTAAACTTTACATTCATTTTACATTCATTGAAGATCTTCAATAAGAGTTTAATTCTCCCACCACCGTTAAACTTCTACATTCATTGAAGATCTTCAATAAGGGTTCAATTCTCCCACCCGCGTTAAACCTCTACATTCATTGAAGATCTTCAATGAGGGTTTAATTCTCCCACCCCAGTTAAACTTCTACATTCATTGAAGGCCTTCAAGAAGGGTTTAATTCTCCCACCCCCGTTAAACTTCTACATTCATTGAAGATCTTCAATGAGGGTTTAATTCTCCCACCCCAGTTAAACTTCTACATCCATTGAAGATCTTCGATGAGGGTTTAATTCTCCCACCCCAGTTAAACTTCTACATCCATTGAAGATCTTCAATAAGGGTTTAATTCTCCCACCGGGGTTAAACTTCTATATTCGTTGAAGATCTTCATTGATGATGATGATGATGATGATGATGATGATGTGGTGGAACGAACCCGCACAGGTCCCTCTGCTGTGCGTTCTGATTTAGAACATGAAGTTAACCATTATGCTAAAGTATTCAATTTTTACCACGTTTTCAGCTCATACGAAGAAGGCGGGCCAACAGGCGCGGGCAAGACGAGGCGTTTGGCCGAAGAGTTACTATCTTCTATCATGTTCTATATCTAGAATATCTAGATATTTAGACTCTTACCCCATGGATTTCCATATGATTTCCATATGATTTCCATATGATTTCCCACTCTCCCATGGATTCTTCGGGATTCGCGAAAGTTCGTTTCGCACCATGTTCCGGATCCGCGAAAAGTTCGGGTCTCCTCTCAGCCAGGTTTAACTCCACCCGAACCTGCGGGAGAATGGGCTGATGTATGTTGATCTACAATAACTTATAACTTAACTTGTAAATTAGTTACATCTATGTGTCATGTGTACATTCTAAAGTTTATGTAAATGTTCATTTATGTGTGTGTATTATGTTTGTGATTACCACAACGAATTATGATTCTGATTATAATTGTGAAGTTATAACGCATAGAGTCTTGATTGTTCATATGAGTGTTTGTTGACTTCTATGTGTGCTCTTGAAACTAATTCTATAATAATATAGTCTAGAAGCATATGATTTTTGGAGTTGTGATTATTTATTGCTGATAAATGTCTTGAGATCGTTAATTTGATGCACGAAAAATAATAATCACAATTCTATACATACATATAATACATAATAATATGATACTATGTGTATCTATAGAGAGAGAGAGAGAAACTAGGACTGAGATCTGAAGAGATTTTGGTATATATTCATATCAATTATATGAATTTAAATACTCTCCCGCAATTTAACATAGCTATTGAAAATGGCCATAGAAATAGTGGATTTAACCATTAAAAATGGTGGATCTTTCCATAGCTACGTTAGTTTCCCTGGTGGATGATCGGCACAAACTCAACTACTGGTGAAACCACCGGCCGGCCAGCCGGGCATGAGATTTCATCACTTCTTTGGGACCAGTTAAATCATGATCATTACCCTCTGGTAAACTAACATAGCTATGGAAAATCACCATTTTTAATGGGACAACTGGGAAAACTCACTATAAATGGTCCTGTTCAATAGCTACGTTAAATTACCAGAGGGTACTGGTTTGTGGTTTCAACCATCTTGAAAAATATGAAAGTCAATGGGAAGGATTATCCCATAGATGATGGAAAATAAAAAATGTTTGAAACCACCAACCAGATTATCATGTTATATCTGGTTGGTGGTTTCAACCTATCCCTCTGAAAAATGATGGACTTCGTCAGTTGGGATGATGACATTCCCAACATATTGAAAAAAAAAAGTTCCAAACCACCAACCAGATATCCATTTATGGGGTGATAGTGGGATGGGCTTCGAAGTTGCACCCCAATTGACCACCAAGTGATGGGCAAACCTTCGATGCGGGTGAGAAATTCCATCTGATAGTCATGCTGGTCATCTGTGCAACAGTCATTTCTACCCTCTGGTAAACATACAAAAAACTATGGACAATCACCATTTTTAATGGGTAAATCAACTATTTCTATGGCCATTTTCAATAGCTATGTTAGTTTACCAGAGGGCATATCGAAGATTTTTGAACCATCTCCAGTCTTGTTGCTGTTTCAAATTTCACTGGCACATAAATACTCACTTCCATTTGCACTTCTGTCAGTATGGCTTGAACACACAGTACCACCAGAGCAACCAGTTCTTCCATTCTTCCTGATTCTTCCTGAAGACTACTGGTAAGTTAACATAGCTATGACAAAAATCTCCGTTGTAATCAAATGTCATAGAGCTATGTACCCTCTGGTAAACATACAAAAAACTATGGAAAATCACCATGTTTAATGGGAAAACTCACTATAAATGGCCATTTTCAATAGTTATGTAACAAATTACCAGAGGGTAAATGATCAGTGGGCCATCTATACCGGCAGCTGAAAGGCCCTACGAGGTGGGCCAGAACCACCGAACTCAGCGCCTTCCGCGTCGCGGTAAGAGGCCTGGGAAGTCAGGGGATGGGAATTGATATTGATGGAGGTTTCCTAAGTCATGGGGGTACCCCATGTATCATCCATATTTTAGATTGGATTTGTTTAAACCCCATTTATCATCCATTTTAGATTGGGAGTTTTTTAATGAAATAAACATAAATAAACCATCCAGCGATAAAGGGGTACCCCCATGACTATGGAAACCCCCACATCGGGAGCGAAATCCCGGGGTATCATGGCGGCACCGGAGAGTTCTTCCTGGGTCTTCGGGCGAAGACGCCGAACCTCACAGGCTGATGTTCGCTGATGTCAGGGGAGATCATTCTCCCAGTTCAATGGGAATTTCAGGATCCTAAAATGGAGGTACTGTACCATATAAGGCCATATTTTGCTGGGATATTCCCTTACATAGGCCTTACATAGGCCTTATATATGATAGGTACCTCCAATTTAGGTCCCTGAAATGGCCATTGAGAACATATTCAGACATATTCGGACTATATCTAACAAACGGCAGCAAATATCAAACTGGTGGTGTTTTTTTGGGCAAGATATGAAGTGGTCCTTGGATGGCAGCTTAATTATCAATCTCAATAGCAATTTCACACTTTTGCCAAAAATGGTTCTGGATTTGGACGCTTGAGGGCTTGGATAGTTTTAAGTGGGTTCATGTGACATTTGAATCTGTGATTGGCTTTCTTTCACGTAAAATATGGTCAATGTAGTGCCAATGTTAGATACTGTATCAATCGCAAAATGAAATAACATTGCCAATCTTAGATACCTGCAAACGATAAATTTAGAAATTAAGCTGGTTCAGCTACTATATCCCCATCATTCCGCATCGAAATGGCAAGAGATCAAAGGATGAAAATATCCATGACCACTTGGTTTCCCGATTCCTCTTTTCAGAGCCAAAACAATGACAACAAGGCTTAGCCACTTAACCACTCCAAGCTTAGCCATCAAGCATAGGATCCGGTTCCCTTTTTTTGCTGACTTGGATCCCCTGAAAAATCTCCACCATCGTAGAAAATCCAGGCTTCGAACCCCCCAAAAAACCCTGACGTTGCGGGGCCATGAAGACGCCCCCCTTGATGCATCACCAATTTTGAAGGAAAACGTGAGCCATCAATTTGATACCCCTATTCGACTTTTCCCATCTCATTTTTCGAGTTGATCTGCTTTTAACCCTAAACCCAAAGAAATATGGCAGTGTGTCAAAACCTTGTACCCCTGTAGTTCACATCAAAATCGCTGGGATTTATGGATGTTCATCCCCCTAAAAATGGTATTTTCATAGGTATGGATCCATAGCCATATCGATAAATATCAGATAGCATGAGATACCCTCTGGTAATTTAACATAGCTATTGAAAATGACCATTTATAGTGGATTTTCCCATAAAAAAATGGTGATTTTCCCACAGTTATGTTAGTTTACCAGAGGGTAAAATTCATGTTCCAAACCACCATCTTTCCTTTCCATCAACCAACCTAGGTCCCGATATTAACCCATGAACCATGCCATTTCTTGATGGCTCAAGACCTCCTAGTGGGACGACCTTGACCTTCTCGGCATCCCGGCTGGGGTCCGAGTCGCCAGCCTCCACTTCAGTGGAACCTGAAGAGTTCAGGGACTCCACCCTGAAAAACATCGATTTCAGCAGGTAAAAATGGGACACTCTACCGTGTTACACCAGTTTATGGGGTAAATCATGTGGGATACATTGGGATACAATATATGTATATATAATATATTTTACATATATAATAATATAATATAATATAATATAATATAATATAATATAAAATAATATAAAATAAAATAAAATAAAATAAAATAATATAATATATATATATATAATATATATAATATATATACAATATATATATATATTACATATATATATAATATATATATATATATATACATTATATATATACTAAATTTCAACAAATGTATGAAGGGGGTCCTCTCAATGAATCGCCCTCAAATCGTGGGTTTTCCTCTTTGAAAACTGCCAACAACTTGGATGATTTTGGGGTCCCGCCATTTTTAGAAACATCCACAGATGGCCAATCCTAGAGTGAACAATCAGCAAAATCAGTAGTTGTCCCATTGAACTTGTTTTTTGGGTTCACCCCTGTAACTTTGGGTGAACCCTCCTGACCATCCCAATCTGCAGAATTCCAGTAGAAATGCCCCATTTTCAGACCCAAATGGCATTCCACCCAGGTTCCAACATATTCCAATATGGTGATTCTACGGGCTTATAGCTGGACATGTGAACCACATGTCACATTTCAGCCAGAAAACTGCTGACATTCCATTGGCTTTGTCCCATGTCCCTCTGAAAATCACACTTTCGTTGGTGTGGTAAACCCATTGCCATAAACCCACCCATTTGGGGATGGATTATAGCAACAAATTATACTTGCAGTTTTTTCTTGGATGGTTTCTGGCTTTGGGTTTACCACATTCATGTGTTAAAACCCAAGAAATGGTTTTTTTCCAAAGTACTTTGTTAAATTTGTAGTTTATTTCCAGGTCTATGGCCGTGTTTAAAAAAAAAAAACTTTCCAGCCCAGCTCGGCCGTATCTGGAGCGCCTTGAGATCCCAGAGACTTGGGCCTTGCGTCCGAGAGAGCGGCGCTCGAAGCTACTCGTGTTTTTATCCCCTACATTCCTTCACTGCTGCCAGGGTGTATTTAATGATGTTTAATGATGTTCAATGATGTTAAATAATGTTTAATATAGCTTACCCATATGAAAAATATGGTTCTGGGTAAATGAAATAATATTTCACTAACCTGAATTGTTGGGCCATTTGGGGATCATTTCCCTTACTAACTATGATTTCCAGGGTTCGGTCGCAGTGAGGTCGTTATAATTTACCCAGATATGTTCTAATCTTAATATTGATATCTATCTAGGCTCCTCTAGAAGTGGATAATCACCATATTCCTGAAGTGGCAATGGTTCCCATTCATTTTGCGGTACCCTTTTCAGCATGTCAAGCTTATCCCAATCTGCTCCTGCAGCAAGAAACCTAAGAAATTCCTGCAGCACATCAAAGCAGGTTGCACGTAAAACATGAATTTACACTGTGAGCCCTCAAAACTGTCCAAATATTTGATATCAAAGCTCCACCTATCCAATGTAGTGGAAGAATATCACAGAATATCTAAGTCCATCTAAGTCCCTATTTCTGTGGGTGAGTTAGATCACCATATTTTTCCTGGTTGAAACACACTTTTAGTTGGGCAACTCCACTACCATCAACTGGAAAGGTCCAAATCATGCGCCCAGACCGGACCTATGGGAGCCTTAGATACGGAGAAATCCCTTAGATACAGGGATTTGTTTGAACATTGGCACACCCCATTTTACATTGCAAATCTATGCATGTTTTTATATGGCCCCCTGCAAAAACAAAAGGATCGCTTTTTAGCTGGTGAGGTGAACATATCTCGTCGCAAAACATGAAACTCGGAAAAAACTAGCTATTGCCAGTGTGTTTACCGAGCTGTTTGACAAATCTTTGACGCTTCATTCCCGATCTTTTCTTGGTTAAACCCACCATGATGCTACGGTCGTCGCCACTGCACGCCATGGCGGCCAGGGCACAGCTCCGGAGTTGTCCACGCCGCCTCAGGCTCGGCTGACAAGATTGCATGTACTCTCTGGTAAACTAACATAACTATGGAAAATCACCATGTTTCATGGTAAAATCCACTATAAATGGTGATTTTCAATAGCTATGTTAAATTACCAGAGGGTACATGTCATGTGGGGAAAACCGCCAGATATAACCAACTGTAACCTTCTGAATATGGGAATATAAGGGGATGTTTCAATGGGGTGAAAGAAAAATGAGATCCTTGGTGAATCGGCCAGCCAAATATAACAAACTAACCCTTGGTAATTCTATGCAGCGAACTGAAAAATCACCATTTTTTGAATAGGTATATCATCGTTGTTCATTATTTATCATCTATAAATGGGCCACGTTCCATAGCTATTTTAAACAAGCAAAGGGTACAACCATGAACACGGGAATATAACGGGATATTTCACGAAAATGAGATAGTCCTTATCGGCCAGATCCCCTGCAAAGCTGAAGGTTAACGTTTAGTGGGTCTGAGGTGGTCCATCTAACCCCCAAAGACATGTAGCAAAACTCAAATGGAGATACGAGCGGCCCCCAGTACGAAGCAACACCAATGTGGATTATTCACCAATGATGAATCGGATGAAATCAGCAAGAATTATGATCAAAGCTGAAAGGAGTTAGAGAAAACTGACTCTATCACCAAAGTGGAGATAGGTTGGAATAGTCAACAACCAGAAGGGAATATCGACAAGCAAACAGGGGACAGTTCACAAGTGTCGGTACTAACACACCCACAAATGCCCTGTCATTCTTGATCTGAAAACATCCAATCTGAGGAAAAATAAGTCTGTAACCATTTTTTATGATTCTGAATTATACCAACCAAACGGGTTACAACTATATAGTTATATATAAATATATACCCTTGGTAATTGAAGATAGCTATGGAAAATCATCAGGTTTAATAGGTAAAACATGGTAAAACATCTGTAATTGCGCCATGTTCAACATCCATGTTCGTTTACCCTAGGGTAACTATGACAGTTATACTACGTAGCTATGATAGTTATACCATGTTCATAGGCAAATACAGGTAAATCATCCATACATGGGCCAATTTATGGACCGCTTGCCATAGCAAACTCTTAAATTACATGATAATCATGATAGTTATGCTACAGGATATCTATAGCTACACCTGGAAAACTGTAATGGTTACCATCTGGTAAATTAACATGGCGAACTGGAAAATGGCCCATTTACAAATGATTTTCCCAATAAAACCTCCATTTATAATAATTTTCCAGTTCGCTATGTAACAAATTACCAGAGGGTATCTCCCATAAATCACCATATGTCCCATATGTTTCCAATAAATCACCATAGTTTCCATGGTTTGAAGGGGTTTTCCTATGGCTTCATCACCTTTTCGGCATCTTTTCGGGGGCTCGTTGTTCATGATCCAGGCATCCACACGGATGGCCACGGATCAGCGCCGCCTGGCAACCCGTTGAACGTATCAACCCGTTGGGGCAACGTCCGACCAGGATTCGAAGTGGGACGTTGATCATTACTGTAATATCAACGTTGGGATAAAAATCCAGTAATATCAAGGTTGATATAACATGGACGTTGATGTAACGGTTTTTTTGGTTAACTTATTGCATGTTACTGTGAAATCTCCGTGATGAAAATTGGATCAATCTTGGTTAGAAAAAAATTGGCTGATTATCCCCATGGATTAAGGAGTAGCCATATAACGATGATATAACCTCTGGTAATTCAACGTAGCTATTGGAAATGGCCCAGTCGAAATAGTTGATTTTCCCAGCTATAAAATGGTGGATCTTTCCATAGCTTTTTGTATGTTTACCAGAGGGTAACCAATGGACGTTGATTCAGGAAACTCGTGGGAAATCTGGGGATGTGAATTTTAACCGAAGGATCTGCATGGATCTGGAGATGGAATTGGAACCCCGTGACGTGGATATTTACCCTCTGGTAAACTAACATAGCTATGGAAAATCACCATTTTTATTGGGTAAATCAAATATAAATGGCCATTTCCAATAGCTACGTTAAATTACCAGAGGGTAAGGATGGGATTTTGGAAAGGCACAACCCAGCTGTGTTTGTTGGTGAAAAGTTATCCCATCTAATTGTAGATATGTCCATCATAGATCCAAGAATGATGGGTCCTGGTCCTGTGGAGTTTGGAGCCCACTAGCAGCCATACAGACACGTATTCTATGGCTCTGTGATTGCAAGACTTTGCAACATACACCAGTATACATATATCATATGTCATATGTCATATGTCATATATCATAATATATATATATATATATATTATATATTATATTATATATATTATATATTATATTATATATATATATTATATATTATATATCTTATATATATGTACATAAGTTGCTTTTATAAAGAAAAAAACATATCTTGAATATCCATTACAATGATATATCGAAATGAGGTACCCGCGCCTGGAAGCCGGTTAGGCACTCCAAGCATTCCGTTCATGCCGGGCCTCCAAGCAAAAAACACAGTGCCGTTTTTCGATGGAAAAGGGGAGGAAATCCAGCGAAAAACCTAGGGTTTATGGGAATATATCATGGAATATCATGGATATACTATAGTAACTATGGGTTCTAAAAACATGATGTTTTGCGACTGTGACTAGTTGGTAAAAATAAAGCAACAAACCACACACACTGCTGGGCAAGTTCTAGATGACTGTGACCATATTTACTGGATTCTATGGTTGCTCATTTATGTTTGTTACCCTCTGGTAAACATACAAAAAGCTATGGAAAATCACCATCTTTAATAGGTAAAGCAGCTATAAATGGGCCATTTTCTATAGCTATGTTAGTTTACCAGATGGTAATTGGACTCCATATTTGACTGTAATCTTAAGACTATGATACATTATATACTATACAGTATATGTATTGTCAATACATGTTGCCAACATAGAACTCGCGTTGGGGCATTATCCACCAACTGGTGGATGGTCATGGTACGAATACTTGGTGGATCAATCAGGTTTTCTGTCACCTACATTTGAGGGAATATAATCTGGTTGGTGGTATACCTACCCCTCTGAAAAATATGAGTTCGTCAGATGGGATGATTATTCCCAATATATGGAAAAAACAAAAATATTCCAAGCCACCAACCAGTAATAGCCTAACCGATATAATCCAATGGAATTGGGACTTTATCCACCGAAAAATGCAGAACATGGTGAAATGATGTTCAAAATCGCGTTTGAATTCACCAACATCTGAAATGATCGCCGTTTTTTTCCCGGATGAGTCTCCTATTTCGAAAACCCTCTTCAACCAAACTTGTGACTTAAAGAATCCAAATCTTTGGTTCCTATTAATGTCAAGTTTTTGTTTATACCTTGCAGTAGACTACGCTATGAAAAATCCACCATGACACTCATTTCAAGGAATTCCATGGATTCCCAGATTTTTTTCGATGTTTACTGGAAGCTACTCCCTAAAGATTCTTTAAGTTATTCCTAACCACGGATCGAGCATCAAGAAACCCCGAAAAGCCAAGGAATTCACCATGGGTATCCATGGGTCCATGATTTTAAGCAACAAAGTGGGTGAATAGACCAATCGTGGTGAGCGTAACTGGTTCGTAGAAAGTATGGCAGCTGTATCAATTGATAGTTGATTGTCTTATCAAACCTCCATTTATGGGGAGGAATTTCCAATTGCCATTTTCGAAATGTACTTTGCACTTTAATGTCTTTACCTAGGTCACATTGCAGGTTATTCCAGATCCCAAAGGTTTTCACAGCCATGGAAATCACATTGTGTGAGTTTCTCAAACCCTTGTCCTTTGTCACAGAAATCTTGGCCTCAACATGATTCTCAGCAAACCTTTCGTGTGAATTTTCCCCTTTCGTGGCTTAACTTCTTGGATTATTTGATGCATGGTCCCTGGAAACTCAGAACTTTGCGGGTCAACATAAACATAAACTCAAAATCAAAGTCTTGGGGAAAAAAAACTGTTTGAATAAATCTGGTTGGTGGTTTCAACCCCTCTGAAAAGTATGAGTTCGTCAGTTGGGATGACTATTTCCGATATATGGAAAAATAGAAAATGTTTGAAACCACCAACCAGAATAGATGAGGTTCAAAAAATGGTTCCCATTAAAACTTCCATTTCAAGCAAATGTCCCATGTTGGAAGTTAGGATGGCAACAGCAACTGGGTTCTGCTGGGTTCTGAACTCCTGCATGACCACCCACTGGGAAAGATGAGATCAAAGTGCTGGAAAATGCTATTGATATCCATTGAAGATAGTGTGAGGTGGTTCTAGATAGGATATCAACAGCATTTGATCATGTTTGGAAAATGCTATTATCAAATGCTATTGATATCCATGTTTAGTCAAAGTCAAAGTGCTTGAAAAAGCTATTGATATCCGTTGATATCCGTTGAACCGTTGTTGTTGTAGCATGTTACATGTTGATTCCAACTGTGTCCTCGCACTTTCACCATTTCTGAACGGAGATCAAGGGGGGTTCATATCCAACAACTGGGATCCCAAACCACCATGGCGGCGACCACGCGGGTGGCGGACCTTTTGCAAATGCCGCGGGAATTGATCTGAAAAATAATGGCTGGTTGGTGGTGCAATAACCATCTTGAAACATATGAAAGTCAATGGGAAGGATTATCCCATATATTATGGAAAATAAAACATGTTTGAAACCACCAGCCAAATGGGAACATCATGGGAATTGCATGAAGGTTGGAAGGATGGCTGCCAATGTCATCCAGTCCGGCCATGAAAAATTGACCAATTTCTCGGCTCGTTTCCCAAAATAGCGGTAGCACCAATTTATACAACAGGCTTTATGGCCCCCCAGTGACGTTGGTTGGTTTATAAACCCACTATAAATTCTATCCCACAACCATCATTGTTAATGAATGGTGCTGGGACCATTTTTTGAGGGTCTACATGGCACATTCAAGCATTCACTTACTTGGCCGGAGATCATCTTCACAAACTCCGCGTTTTGAGGGGATTTCTCATTGCCACGGTTGATTTAATATTACATAATATACCCTCTGGTAAACATACAAAAAGCTATTGAAAATGGCCATAGAAATAGTTGATTTTCCCATTAAAAATTTTGATTTTCCATTGTTATGTTAAATTACCAGAGGGTAAGGGAGGCTATTCCCAACCAAATGGGTCAAGTTGTGCTACATGGCTGATCCAACATTTGCTAGTCTCTATAGTTGATTTCAATAGGTTCAAGATCTAGCGCCAGCGAGTGGCACCATATTATAGCTAGAACATTCTATAGCTATCCTGAAGTAGATAGAATGTGTTGAATCTGGTATTTTCAAAAATATGCCTATTTGGGAGAGGATGTTTTCAAAATTCCAAATTCTATCTACCCCAGGATGATTGTAGTGTGATACAGTCATACACTCTGGCCGCACCTAGATATACCAACCATTCCGAACTACAAAAACATAAGAAGCTTCTCATGATCAGCAAGATTCATGGCAAGATACACAAGAATATGTTCAGCAAAATAAACACAATGAACGAAAACAAATGCTTCTCCCACTGATAGTTAAATTGATACAAGACAACTGAGCCATGAAAAATGCCCCTATCCCATATTATACTAACTAGTTGGTTGATAGGCTAGGTTTTTCTACTATTGGTAATAAATATGTGATAATTAATCCAAAAAAATCAGGTAGTATAACTACCTATAGCACCCTATCAACAATGGTATTTCTAACGGCTCCACTTTATCAGGCTTACCATGGTTCCACCCACGGGCCCACCTGCTGCGAAGGGTGCCAACTGGGGCAAACCTGCCAGCATGCCACGGTGCCACGGGCAAAATTAGATACCCCTAAACCCCTAAAGTTGAATGGTTAAGACTCAGAATGAAGAGAACCTGCGGTCAAAATCTGGACCTTCAATTTTGACCCATTCCCAAATGATGGTTTTAAAGTCTTAAAAACCATTTTTTGAGAAAGAAATGACCGTCAAGTCCAGGTCTGGTGAACTCCGGAAAATTGGCTGTGAGACCATTGGAAGTCATGTTTAAACCATTGGATTTGTGGGTATCCCATGTCAAATGAATTGCATAGTTGACATTTTCCCCAAGAGTGTGAGCCAACATAACTTTCATCCTGCCAATTAAGCCCTTGAATATACAGAATAAACCCCTAGATTATATAACTCTACAATATTACCACGTGGTGTCCCCAGTTTTAAGTTGCTCTAAAAACCCCGTCAACTATAAATTTGAATAAATTCGGATATTTGTCGTTACAATACCAGTTCTTGAAGTTATAAACCAACTTACCCTCTGGTAATTCAACATAGCTATGGAACATCACCTTTCTTAATGGATAAATCATCTATAAATTGGCAATTGTCCATAGCTATGTTTAGTTCTGTTTAGTGAAAGATGATAGAAACCGAAACTGGAAGGTTTTCGACCACTTCCTGGCCCGCTTTCGTGCCATCCCACCATCTCACTCCATTTAGTTCGATGATTTTCCCACCAGAAGCTTGAGGACAACGGAAGGTAAATCCATTCATATCCCACTACTGACAGTATTATTCCATAGTCCTTAAAATTGTCCCATGAATCTTCCCCCTATGACTCAACACCGAAACCTTGGCTTTTAGTAAGGGATGCAACATGATGCAACCGCGTATTTGGGATTAACCATGTGGGGTGTGCTGAAAAAATCATGGAACCTTTCATGGCATTTCCTTAAAAATGGGACTGACTGGGACTCAATGGGACTCAATTACCCTCTGGTTATGTCAAAATAGCTATTGAAAATGACCATAGAAATAGTGGATGTTCCCATTGAAAATGGTGGATCTTTCCATCGTTTTTTGTGACAGTTTACCAGAGGGTACCATCTCCAACCCACCGCGCAAAGCCCATATTTGTCCCCCTGGCCACGAGGCGTTCGAAGGGGCCCGTTTTTCCGAATCGCTCTCTGAACGCTCTGATGCTGCGGAAATCAGTGTAGCCACCAAGGGCGTGGCAGAAATCAGCCAAAAACCCGGCTGAAAGGCTGGCCACTGTCGCAACGTTTTGGTTTAGCTGATCCAAATTGGGCTATGTTGGGTTATATCATGTCTGGTTGGTGGATTCAACCCCTCTGAAAAATATGAAAGTCAGTTGGGACTATCATTCCCAATATGAAAAATAAAATTCATGTTCCAAACCACCAACCAGATGTTATATCCCCAACCAAGTTGGCAAATTGGATGTCAAGCATTTTGCCATTAAACATAGTAAGATTGGAGGCCAAAGCTGCACGAAAATCCCATGGAATTTCGCCAGGATTCGCCACGACCCGCAAACCCATACATCTCCATATCTCCAGCTCTCCTTGTCTAGCCTATCATCTCTAAGTAAGCCCAAAAACAAACACTTAAGAAAAAGAAAAAACAGATATTTGAAGGTTCAATATTTGCCACCAATTGCATGCAGAATGTAATTTTTCCTATCGGATTCTATCGTTTTTGGGGTGACTCTAGTTCGTTGAAAGCGTGTTTCCGCAAGGACCTACCGACGTCGGTCACCTGGGGTCTCCTTCGAATGGCGAATTAGGATGAAGATCCCTATCAAAAATGGCAAAACACGTAAACAAAAATCAAAAAAAAGTGTAAAAGTTGAGAAATTCTTCTAGTTCGTCCAGGTTTACCCTGTTTAAACAAGATTGTTTCTCCATAGGTCAGTGGTAAAGTTAGGACACATTGGCATCCAGTTGGTGGTGACCGTCGGCCGGTCGACCCCAGGGGGATGCTACGGTAGCCATTTTCTCACGGAAAAATGATGATTAACATTGATTACCCTCTGGTTATGTCAAAATAGCTATTGAAAATGGCTATTTATAGTGGATTTTCCCATTAAAAATGGTGATTTTCCATAGTTATGTAAACGTTTACCAGAGGGTAAGCCAGTGAAATCTATTGAAATCTTCAAGTACCCCATTATCCATTAAAAAAAATCCTATTGATCCTATTGAATCTTGAAAGTACCCCAAAATAAAGTCCATTTAAGAAGACAAATCGTGACAAAAGCCATCTTCTGTTGGATTCTTACTGATCTGGCTGGTGGGACATGATATTTAAACACCCCAACTCCAAAGAATGCCATGGCCTTTCGCCGTAGCCTCCACTTGTTTGCTGAGTCGATCCTGCCCCCCTTGGCGCGATGGAACTGCTACGCCGCTACACCAACCGACCTGCCAAAGTGGCGCTGGTGCTGAAAGGGCAAACCGTTTGAGCCAAGATCAGCCTTAGGAATTATGATCAGAATTATGCCGGATAAAATTCACGGCGAAAACCCAAATTCCAACATGTCTTTGGGTTTTGGGGGGCTCCAGGTGTTTTTTTGGACAACGGCCGGGCCCAATGGATCAAAGCTGTCCCTCAGCACCAGCCATGTTTTCTGGGCACTCCCTGCAGCTCAAACTTTCGGAAACCCAATTTCTGTCGACACCGAAAATGGATGTGGCGCCGTTCTGCAGGCTTGGTGGTTGTTCGCCATCCGGGATCAGGATCCCATGTATTGGGCATGGACAATGAATATGTATATATATATATAGATATATACATACATACATACAATATCAATTTTATATTATCTATATACCTTATACAATATCTATTGTATATTAAGTGACTAATGGGTTTGTGTAAGAAACGGGTACCCCGTTTCACGCAACGTTTGGTCATCATATTCCCCGTTGAAATTGCCGTTTTAGGATATCCTTCATCTTCAGACAAACCCAAGTAATGGAAAATTCACAAAGCAGTGACTTAGTGTTTGACTAAAGTGAGGACTTGGATGATATTCTAATTCCCTGCATTTGAAGATTCTCTCCACAATACAGAACTGATCAAAAGTGATCAACATTCATGGAAACCGAATCAACATCTCATAATGACACGAATGTGTTAGTTTGTCTGTTTCTTTGGGGGAAACGAAACAAAACTGATAGTTGATCATTTACCCAATTGAAATAGCCAGAACTTGGGCTTTGCCCATTTTTTGGACCAAGATATGTTTGGTAAAGCAGCAAAAAATGATCAGATTCTGCTCCAAACGGGTCTCCCTTCGTCGGAGCATTGCAGTGCGCTCTAGACATATTTTTCTTGGACACGCAGACGCAAGGTGGAGCCCCCCGCGTGCTGTATTAGATGGAAATCGATGATCAAGTGGCCCAAGAATCGTTTCGTCTTTCTTCCTGGGTGATAGTGAGTTCCATTGACCAGGGAGACTTGCATGATCTCAGTAGAATAGGTAGCTCAACATGAATTGGTACAATCACACACAGCATCCACTATAATCGTCGCAAAAAAAAAACACAAACATCATAGTATCTAATATCTAACTTATGGCATCATCGTAAAATGACAGACCCCGCCAACACTATGAAGGATCCGAGAATTTTCCAAGCAGCACTTTTGTTGAGGTCGATGGGATAGGTTCACAAAGGGCGAGGCCCGATTTATCCATCTAAACCGTCTATAAATCTACCTCTAAATCTTCGCCGCTATCATTCTACAAAGATGGGCCTCTGAGCTTACTGGCTGGTGGTTGAGCCCCGATGATTTGGGTGTCATTCAATTGGGATCATCCTCTCAAGGGTGGAAAAGAAAAAATCTTGGCAACCACCAAGTAGTCGCTCCTTCAAGGGGCACTTCCCATTTTGAGACAAAATTTCACCTGCGCCAATCTACCCCAATCAACTCCCATGGGTAAAAGCTTTTTATTTCCAACGCCCAAAAGACCCATCTTCTAGCTGGATCCCCGCGCCGTTCCGCGGAAAATCTCTGGGAACACCGTGTTTTGCAGGTCCCGTTTCTGACCCTGCGGAGAAAGGACAAACAGGCCGCCGGTTTGTCTCCGGTTTGTCTCGGGGAGGGCCTTCCCGTGCCACATTGAGCACAGGATGGGGCCTCGCCGCGGGCAAAGGGCATGAAGAACACCCCCGAGCATTCCCTCCCCCAAGGCCCCAAGCAGGTCAAATCCAGGCCGGCGTTCTAAGTCCCACGTGTGCCATCTGTGCTTTGACCGCTGGGAACACTGGAGGCGAAACTGTGAACGATTATTGAGCCCACTGATTTGTTTAATCTTATTGAGTACATCATATATACAATATGTTTTATATTGCTTTACAATTTTACAATCTATTGGAATGGCTTATAGGGAGTTTTATACATTGAAAGAAATCATATATCGTTTACACAAGGATATCAAAATGCTTGCACAGGAGCCAAAGTGAGAGACCAACTCCATTTCCACTGCTGGGGGAAAAAGGCAGCGATGGTGAACAAATAAACTAATGTTAGTAAAGCAATAAACCACCCAGATTTTACTGGTCTATAAGACCCGTTTATGGTAAATTTGGGGATGATTTACTATTGCGTTACAAACATCTAGAAAAATATCATTCTCAGGCTGCCGAAAATTTCCGCGATATTGAGGAAATCACCCAACTAATGGACAAAAACATCTTCCACAGCAAGTTTATGGAAGTTTATGTACAGTCGACAGCTTACATCAGCCCCCACTGTGAGTAGACAGTTGGAAACGACCATGTTCCCCCACGTACATCTCAACTTGAGATAGAATGAAATGAAGCATGAAGCTTACCCTTAACCGGTGTGTGGACCCATCCTTTCCTTTGTATCTATAGAATACAACATATAATGTGTTTTTTAATCGTTTATAATATATATATATATTACAGCCGTTGCCAGAACTATAGAACAGAATTAGGAGTACAAAAGGACGGCAAAATATTGTAAAATGCCGTACTTTCGTACT